GGAACTAGTTAGTGAACAAGCACCCCTTTAATTGACTCCCACTCTTCACAGAAAAGCTCACCTTGCCTTTAACAGAGGAAGAAGGGTTTGTCTGACTCCAGCTGCTGACAGCAACAGTCCCAGCAGGCATTAGATTTCATTACATGTCCTAATGTGCCAGCCTTACCACCTGTCCCTATTTCACTGGTGTTCAGCCAGAGAGCAGTAAGCACAGAAATGCAGTTTGGAGATGCTTGTAGACAGTTTTGTTTTGGAGCTGTTCCCTTCCAGTTGCCCACAGTGCCCGTGCCCCACACATCTCTGCTTGCACTCCCTGCCTTTGCACCATGCTGGCCCATCTGCCCCATGCCACCCAGAAGGACTGGAAATGAAAGAGGGTGTTTGTGTGGGAGGGCAGGCAGCAACCTGAAGCACTTGTCTGCTGTTATCGTGTAGGCAGAGAAAGTGCATGGGAAATGCAGCCAGTGAGCACTACGGTGCAGATGGCACCTTTCTTGTGGGGTTATCTCTTCCTGTTATCTCAAAAACTACATTTCAGAGCCACTAAAGGCAGAAACTGTCTAACAATATCACCCAAAACAAAGGCATGTGAGGCACCGGCACAGTAGGAGATCGGTGCTGCTGACAGCCAGGTGGGCAGATTCAAGTGTTGCCATAGTCATTTGTCACTGAGAAAATGTCTCCTTCTCTCTGCGTCTGCTTTCACTGAACCAGCACTTACACCGACGATGCACGTGTCAAGGGAGGGAGAGCAGGGCCTGTTGGCAGGCTCTGGGCAGATGGGGCTCACCATGTGCCCAGAGAGACTCAGAAAAAGGTGAGTTTGAGTCAGCATCAGCTGTGACCCTCCCATGGCAGAAGCCAGTAAAGAGGTGTGTAGCCCTTTTTGATCCTTTTGGATCCATTCTCAATGGCACTGGCAAAGGCAGACAACAGAAAAGTGACCTGAATGGAGCTCCTCAGGGCAGGCATTATGGAGAAGAACGATCCTCCAAAGCCACAAGGACACCTTGGAAATGCTGCTGATGTCAAGTGGACTAAAATTGGGACAGAAGATTTGTATCTACAGACCTGCCTGGATCATGGGGTTGCATTTTCCTCCCATTCCTTCAGCACTGAAGCACATCACCAAGCCAAACTGATCCAGGGCAGTACAAGCTGCATCTCCCAAACTGGGGAGGCTTCATCCTGGCTCAAACCAGGACAATTAGCCAGCATCCTTACAGAGCATGGCTCAGCACATCAGTCCTCTCCTCTCATCCTGCTTAAAAATAATTGGGAAAAACACTTCCTCTTGTGTGACTCACTGGTAGCTGTGTCTATGAAAGAAAAACCAAGAAAGGATGCAGCAAGTTGCAAGTTGCACCAGAGCAAAGCACTTCCTGTTAGTTCTTCAGTCTCGTCAGAACTGTTTTGCAGAACTGAAACATCCTCTAGAGCATAAAAACCAGAGATTGGACTGCTCCATGACACATATTGAGAAAAATTGCTGACTTTTCAAGTAGGCACCAAGTTCAACCAGTATCATCCGTTGCAGTGTATCAGAATGAACCAGAGACATCGCAAAAACAACAGTGACAATAAAAAAATCCGACATAAATCAGAACTAAATAATGCCCTGTTGAGACTCCCTTTGTCCTCTCAGCACCTAAAAAAGACATTTTTAGCTGAGAAGAGTCTAGTAACCCAGGGACCTCAGTGAGCTGGAAAAGGATGAGAGTGCTTCTCAGCAGCCAGGTGGAGGGCAGTATTAAAACATGCAGCTCCAGACTTCACCCATGCCCAGTGTCATGGCCTCTGGCCTGCCCTGTGCTCAAGGTGCCCACTGGCAGCCCCACTCCCTAGGAAGAGGAACCAAGGGGAGCTTTCTGATGTGCTCAGCCCTCACATGCCTTCAGTGGAGACAACAAAGGTTTCCACAGATACAGAGTGGTCTTGAGAGAGGGTTTGCATCCAGTTTGTGAGCAATGATAGAAAAGGTTCTTGTCTCCTGTTCCCATCCTAGCTATGTCTTGGTGTTGTGCTGCAGTTCCTTGCCAGGAGAGCAGGCACTTCTCTGTGCTGGGCCAAAGTCACCCCAGCACCACCTCAAGCACATACCTGTATCCCTCCTGCAAGGTCCTGTGGCAAGTGTCACCCCATCAGCACCAGCCTCAGGCACAGCAGCTGGTGGGAAGCCCAGGAGGGGCTCTCAGATGTATGACAGAAGCTCACCAAGCC